CGGGCTCCGCAGAGGTACTGGCTGTAGAAGGAGGCGGTTGAGGGTGTGGCCCCGGAGTCGGGCATACCTGAGTACGAGTGTCACCTCCGTGCGTCCTCCCGGCGACTCTCACAAGCCTCGGAGACTCAGTGTCCCCATCTGTCGCTCGGGGGCAGTAGTCGCGCGCACTTATTAGAGTTATTGCGCCACATAAATAAGATAATGGGGTCCCTGTTGCGGAGCTGGGAATCGGACCTGGCCTGGGGCAAGAAAGGGCTCAGCGGCCCCAACTCCCACCGCCCAGGTGGAAGCTGATGCGTGAGAAAACCAGGCCCTCCTCACTCCTCAACCTCGGGGCTCCCGACCCCTCCCCTCGTCCCCCGCTCGGGCTTCCCGGGGAGGTGATTTCTTCCCTTGCAGGTTTGGCCTTGACTGGACGTCAAGCTGGTTCCACCAGCGTGAAGGGAAGGGGCGGGCAGGTATCTGGAGGTTCCTGCTGGAACCCTTCCCCTAGGTTTCTCCCCACCCTCCACCTCCCCTTGGCTCCAGGCTGGCCACCTCCCTCTCACCCCCCCTCCCTGCACTGCTGAGACTGGGGAGTCAACTCACCCTGGGGCTTCTTCCCTCCTTCCAGCCTGCCGGTGTGGCCCCTGGGGATTTCCTTGCAATCTGATTAAAAGGCTTGATTCTTCCAACCGCTTCCTGGAGTTCTGCCCAGCTGTGAGGCTGAGGGCTCTGGTTGGAGACTTGCCTCTCAGACTGGACTGTAACGAAGACCTCGGACAGGGTGCTGAGGGCAGAGGGGATTCAGTTATTCAGTGACACCCGAAAGCTCCTGGCGGGTCCTACCTGTCTCCACTATCCACCATAGTGATGACGAAAATAAACTCGGAGAGTGTGGTTGAATACACTTCCATAAAGCCTAGACACTTTGCAAGTTTCAAAGCACTTAAATATTCACCATCTGATTCCAGCCAGAGCGAGCCCCTTCGAAGTGGTGGTCCTACCAACATTTTATAGACGAGGAGACCCAGGCCCAGAATGGACAGTAAATGCTCCCAGGTTTCTACTGTTCGGGGCTGGACTAGGGCAGTCATTGACCAGAGGAAACCACCTCTTTGCTTCAGCGGTTGGAGGGAGGAAGTGACGTTAATGGGAGTGAGAATTTAATGAAAACCTTTTTTAAAAGTTGCCATCAGGCCTGAATTTGAGTGGTGGAAAGGGCGAAGGCTGGGGCAGGGTGGCAGCCTGAGGCTTGTTTTGGAATATATTTTGCCTGGGACTCCTTCCCTGAACCCTCCCGAGGCCTTAGGTGTATTAATTTTCTTTGCCTGGAGAGAGGGGTTTCTTGCCCTTTTCTCCCTCCAATTTTGGTTAGATTTTTCTTCTATTTTTCCAGCCAGCAAAGAAATTTCACTCCAGGGCAAGATTATTCCTGAAGTGGGCAAAAATACCACCAGTCCAAACAACTTTTCACTTACCCTCTGGGTTCCTGTCCCTGTTGCTTTTCAGCAGCTAGTCTCCGTGGTGTATGGTGATCACAGCTTCCTCCTAGAAGAGGTCGCTGAGTTCCCTTCTGGAAGATGGAACTGAGGCAATCCATGCT